GCGAGAATGAAATGGACTTTTTCGGTGCATTAGGCGTCATCAGCTAGCCATAAACAACTAACGTACGAGGCTTGAACCCAGGAACATGTTGGTTTGAAGTCCATTGCTCTAACCCACTGAGCCCTGGACTTGTGATTATGTCGGTTTTGATCGGGAATCTTGGCGGATGAACGCTCACTGATTGATTATGGGACTAATCCACATTCTGCGGTTTTGGGCCTCACACTCAAAATCAAAACTTGTATTTAGTGCTATAAAGCTTGCCTACAGATAACGCCTAAAGATATTATAAACCAGAAAGACTCTAAAATAAGGGGAATTTACCACAATACAAATGCGTCGGGGTACTAAAAAATCAGCTGGGATACAGTGGTAAAAATATAAGGTGTTTGACTTACTTAAATTGGGTGTAAGAAGACCCAAAAAAGGAGATTGATATTTGAGTTTTTTTCAGGCAAGGCGCATAAATACGCGACTCAGGTGTTGCTTGTTTTAAGCGTTGACTCATTCTTGACTGCATGGTCAGCGATCACAACCATAGCAAAACAGATGACAGTCATAGGGTACTTTGGTTAACCAATGGGAGACAATTCTGAAGGACTAGAGGTGATTGTGCAGAGCAGTGCATGCAAACATTAAATCAATTTAACGGTTCAGTGAAGCTGCATATCAAGCTCCGTCCCAACTTCTCTTCTAACGCATTTAGTACGCGCTTCCAGAAATATTTTCAGTCGCTTTTGAACTCAAATATCAACCCAAGTTCGAATATTTGACAATCACCTGTGAAAACTTGTCTCACCGTTGGTTAACCAAATTGTATTTTTTGATAAGCGAATAGACTTTTTCTTTTACCTGATTTCCCTATTTGCAGAATTACTTTTAACATAGGGTATAATACACCGTTAAAACCTTGCTAATCAAGGTGTAATTGACATTATTGTCCTCACAATATGTCTACAAGTGGCGCTTTCGAACTGGTCCCACTTCCAAAACCCGGTTTTCCGGCCTTTTGTGAAGTTACTTCTGTAGCAAGATATGTCATATCGTCAATCGGATAAATTCCAGGTTATTTTCGGTGAAAGAACACATTGTTGCGGGACAATAGAGGCTTTGTTGGTCGTAAAGGAATCTCACCTTACACACTTTGCTTTTCGAGTCACAGTGCAGACTATAAATCCTACTAGAAAGCGCTTGCACACAAACTGGTATGCCTGTCAGCCGAGAGTTACTGCGAGGATTGATAAATGGTGCGTAAAGTGCTACCTTTGCGCAGGCCGGCATCTCTCATTTGTCGTTAGCTGTAAGTTTAGTGAGCCACATGCACTGTAAATCGTAAAAATTGCGCCGAAAAAGTTGTCAGAGTATAACGACCTTTTGTTCAGGATGGTGAGTTGCGTATAAGCTATATACTGGAGTCAGACGACTGGCACACGTGGGCCGAAGACAGTCCTTGTTTGCTCCCGCAGAGCCGATTCTACTAGAAAATAGAAAGTTGTGAGCCAACTGGTGTTTGTTCTACATGCAGATAGGTTTAACCGGCAAAACAAAATTGAATTCAAAGTCAAGGTTAACAAATATAGCAGGCACGTCGTAGATTCTTCTTCAGATGCATTAACATAAACAGGATCCGCTTCGGCTACTGTGTATGCTAATGCCTCTGAAGAAGAATCCAGGACGGACTTCCAAACGTCAGGCCAATAAAGGACTTTTCCCACCTTCTTCTTCGCAATTATTTACTGGGATTCGCATGTTCGCTTGTATTGGCAAATGTGACAGGCTTTAAATGTCAGTACATGTTAAATCTTTCAAACCTCTCTCGAGAGAAGCCAAACTCGATCAATTAGATTATAAAAGGCAATGCATTTTGTTGTCCTTAACATAATTAGAATGTAAGCTTCCAGCATGTGCGATAAAATTGTCACATTTTTAATAGAATATTAGCATCAATGGCGATTTGCAATCATACTGGTTATCAACTAACGGTCTCGTGGGGTTCGAACATTTACCGGCACAATTTGCCTATCATATTGAGGCGAATTGTAAATTTTATCGAATTGTTTATACTGTTGTATTTTTGCTATAAATCGAAATAAAGATGCAAATAATAAAAGTAATGATGGCACCGGTACCGTACTTATTTTAGCAGTCTGAAATTTTACTTGCTTGTGCATAAACTTTAAGGGAGCAAAGCTCCCCTAAACACCGAGGCGCCATTACCTGCAAGTAAATATTAGTGTAGATATTGAGGTCCACCTAATTTAGCTGGGGATCCTTCCACGTAATATTAATGCCAGCTTCTTAAGAAACTCAGTCATCTGAAACAGTGATAGAGTTCGAGGTTTGGTGACCTCAGTATTACAGGTGGGTCTACACTAAATTCCAGCCCGGTTAAATTTGAACGGTCACAGAATAGGTACCCTATTGCTATTTTACACAGAGTCACCTATATCGTGGATATACATATTCTCGTGGCCACCCAAAAAATAGCGTTCCTGAAATTTAGGCTAATAAACTGTATGGCAGTTTATTGAAACTCCTTATAGAAGTATGCATACCTGGTGGTAACTCCTCACCACCGACATTTCACGCGTTCTAGTTAAAGGAAAATTTTTAACTGAGGACTAGCTGTCCAAGCAGCCACAGAACATTTTTTATCTCTGAAATGTGGATAGCGTGTCTATTATTTAAATGTATTTATCTGATGAATTTGATTAGTGGCAAATTTAAAAAAAACTCTACTTCGACAGTCTTCTAAGTAAAGCGGTAACGGCAAACTGAAATAAACGAACAAAATTTTCAGACAGCGAGGTTGCTCATTTTGTAAATTAAATGATCCCACTAGAGATATCTTAAGTCTAAAAAAGGACAAAAACAAAGTCTCTATAATCGTTGCGTGATTTAAAGCAACGACTTCAAAATACATAACTAATAAATGTGATCGATTTTCTTTCAGTGGATGTTCATTTTATCTCTGAAACTGAATTCATATGAGCCTTTTCCGCTATTTTCACAAACATTTGGGAGAACTTAAATTAGCCCAGGAACAATAGAAGTAGCAAATACACTCTGCTCTTACTGTCTATCATTTACAAATTTTCATAGCAAATGACGCGAAGTTCAGTTCAAACTGAGAAAAAATGCGCCTGATATCTTGAGGTTTGGTGAAGCGACCCAACTCGTTTTCTGCCAAAATATTGAGCGTTTGCATTGCAGCATAAATAAGACAGAAATCTGGTTGATATTTTGGTTAGCATACCAGTCCTGCTTGGTAAGCCGTCTGCTAATACGTTTTTACCGATAGATGAAAGCCCTTTCAAATTGGACCTTTAAGACGAAAAGCATCTAACAAGAGAGCCAACTGGTTTCCTCACAAACAGAGCTTTTGATTAGGAATTCCTGCGCTACTCCAACTGTTTCAAATATGCAGAAGAGTAGGTTTGCATAGCCAACAGCTTCTGCATGATTATGAAGAACGCAGAATTTTAGGTATTCTATAGAAATGTTCGAAATGAAGTCAGTAGAACATATCACTAGTAAATTGTCTACCGAGCAAAAAAGACAGCAGTATCAGAAGCATCAGTGTATGATAGCAAACAAACTATACATATGCTTTCGAAATTCGCAAATAATAGATATTTGTAAGTAGCCCAAGGAGGAAAGTTTTCACACAAAACTGAGCATCATCTCCAATCAAAATTTTTCATTTATTTTCACTTAAATTGAACACCTGGTCAAAATTCTCCATTTTAATTTTGACGTTACCTCTGTGTTACCTGCACAGATATTAGTCAACTGAATATTTAATTAAAGTTTTTTCAGGTGGTTTTGCCTACATTACTAGCTGTTGCGGCTGGTAGGGCCTCTTTCTAGGCCCAAGGCGGAGAGGGACAGATAAATTCCGTTAGCGGTCGGTGAAGGTACATCAATGAGTAAAGTGCTTTTGTAAGAGGTATCCTATTGAAGAAAGTTTTTAAATTTATCCAAGGCATAGCAATATCAGGCTTCTGTTGTAGAGATTCTTTTTGCTCGACAATGAGTTTTGGTGTTTTGCATAGATTATAAATATAACACAATGATTACCTCCATCATAAGTAATATTCAAGAAATCAGGTTTTAGGCAAATGGTCTAAAAATATCTTATTTTGAAAGTTCGGATAGAAACATCGAACAGAACCTACATCTGTGGAGGAAATTAGGGAAGCATGTAAAATGGTCTCCAAATTTGTCAGACGATCTGAAACTAACTGCAAGTTAATACCTTACATTTTTATAAAGAAAGTTGAGGAATTAAAGGGTTTTTGATATAAAAATCAATACACTTATGATTTCATCGGACGATTATATTTGCATTTATTGACCTAATTTGTATCTATTTTTCATGTCTGAAGAACTTGAGTATTCTTAAAAAGCTATAATTTTCTAAACAACCAATAAATACTTTCTATTTTTATTTTGAGCTGCCAATTTGCCTAGGGATGTTTATTAGTATTTAGTATTTCGCGTGCATGCGTTATTGCCATTTCGCGAGTAATGAGGAATGTTTTGCAAATTTCAGCATTTTGTACGACTTTCCCACCACACTGTACCGCTGCGTGCTTGTTTTCTTAACTGTCCCGAAACGGCAATATTATATAAAATAAGCAAGTTACCAAAAGGCATTCCCTCAATGAATGAATTTCAGAGGCTGCAGTTAAAAACTGAAGTAATGTGAAAAGAATAGGCTTCACGTATAGGTTGTGTTTCGGCGCTAAAATGCAGCAAACATCATTAGAATCCCCTACATCAATAGGTCTACACAGGCGGCGGCACATCCAAGCTTAAACGAAAAATCCACCACGCAAGGGGATTGGCTAACGTCTGCGGCACCTAATTGGTTAGGCGAACTCTTGATGAAACCGAAGCACAGATTACGTAAGAGAACATGACAGGCAAATACAGAGAAGCAGCATAAAATGTTCTAGGACATTAATGTGCTTTGCACATTTGCATGCTTACCTACAATGGACACACCGACTGACAATGGAACCCATGTGTGCCCCAACGGTAGCCTGGATGTACTAGCCCGCAATAATGGGAGTGATCTGCTCTTGTACTCCCGTTTTGCTCCGCCAATTAATCAGATCGTAGAAAAGGCAAGCTACCCCCTCTGGTGCATAATTGGATTACCAGGAAGCATCCTAAGCATGTACGTTTGGTCGCGCCGCAGCATGCGACGAACCGGAAGTCCTGCAGCCGCGGTTTATCAGTCTGCCCTCGGAGGTGTTGACCTTGTCTTCTTCGTTGTGCAGCTTTTTTGGTACCTTCATATGGCTTGGCAGTTACGGACACTGGACCGACCTGGCGTTTGTGAAGGCTTCGCAATAGCCAACTATCTCATTCAATACGCCAGCCCTATGCTTACACTCGTGTTTACGGTGGAACGCTATATTGCTGTGTGTTTCCCATTTAAGGTGGGTGCCAGGAGTTTCGGAAATAGCTGCCGGAGCGCAATCCATATTGTGCTAG